CATCATCATCATCATCATCATCATCATTATTATTATTATTATTATTATTATCGAAAGATGCCTCACAAAAATTAGACCTTATTTCTTGACTGATTCATGACAGCAGCATTATAAGGCACATAAGTAATTTGCTTATTGCAGTCCTGCACAATAGAACTTTGCAATCTAATAGTTAAAACCCATAAAACATAAACATGAATGTATGTTTGAGGCACTTCCACTCATACAGGTGTTGAATGAAACTGTGCAATACCTGGAAAAAAAATTTCTGTCTCCCTTATCTCGTTCAGCAGGCTCACTCTGCATTTAACCCTGGGATGAACAGAAACAGAAACAAGTTTTACTTTTTAATTTAGAGATTAACAAAATATACAAACCATTTCCCCTCATWAGTACTCTATTGTGTTGCCTTTTTGAACTGATCATAGGGTATAATTTCACAAAAACTACTTTGAATTAATGCATTTAAATGGGCAAAATAACTTCAATCCTACCTGTTGGTTGCAGCCGGCAGAGCCGCCATCCTTGTAAAGGTAAAACATCCCGGATGTGTTGCCTCTCTTTTTTGATTTAGGGCCTCGATTTCATTTCCTTGATCATCCAGAAACTGTATTGCAGTCTTTGAGGACCAACATTCTGCCTTGCACTGCAGCAACACCTCATCAGTACCAGGAACAAACATGAGCTTCGGCTCAGACGCAGCAACTGAAAAAAATRAAATGTATTTAATTATTTGATCACCGAGGCCGGGGGAGATGCCAAAGCTAATAGATCATCAACCGCCCACCCCGTACCACACCTCGAACCTCCCTGGCAATTTTAAAAGTTAGGCACTTCCACTTCAAACTGAATGGTAACTTGTAGCTGTAATACCTGTAATTTCCMTTGGGGATTAATAAAGTATTCTAATTCTGATAATGACAAAAAAAGGTAATCACGATTGATTGTGGCATTTAGCCCATAACTATTAACATGACGATTGTAGATGATAATAGATAACAATTGCACTTGCATGTTTTTGACTCTGAATCGGTTACCCTGTGTTCTAAAAATATATTTACAAATCAAACATCTTCATTATAACAGGTTAAAATTGTCTATTGTTAATTGAAACGCACCTTTTCCACAACGTGGAGCAGCATCACATCTTTAGTAACACAATATACAGTACCACGGGCTCAAGTGCGCTTGATAGTGAGAGTCTGTAACTTTAAATTTCGCAAACTTACGTACATTTCAGAAGTGGTGTGAGGGTGACCACAGTTATTTTATGAAGCCAGAGGAAGACACATGGATAGAGGAGGTGAGAAGCCATTTTACAGCTTCAGCAGATGTTGTTGTGTTTTTGTCACAATTTCCTTTTTTTAACGTACATGAATTTCGTAAACTTGTGTAAGCTTTGTTTATACTCAATCAGAAGCCAAACAGTCGATGCACAATCACATGATGGTTCGACGTTTGTTATCGCACACAAAAGCCCCAGGATATACCACACAGAGGGGAAATCCCTCCTGCTGTGGGATACGTCACTACATGGGGTTTCTTCCAGCTGGAAGTGGGTAATGAACGCTTCAAGCATAATCAAACACACCCACAAACTTTTGACCAGCCACACAATAATTTATTATGTGGAGGGAGGTAAAAGGTTCTCCCGGCCAGTTGTGGCAAAAAGAGGTGGAAGGCTTTAAGCTGTGAACAAAGTGATGCGATTTGGTGGGGGAAAGAGTTTGATAGTCAGTGCGGTAGGTTCTGTTGGGAGGGCAGGTTGCCTTTCTTATACAGTACAACGCTAGGGGCAGTGGTGGGCACCAGTCTGCTAAAGCGCAAATTTGCTAATTGCGGACCTAAATATGTCAATTGCGCTTTAGCGGTTTTACTAATTTTTATAATTAATAAGCGGATTTGCGCTTTCTAAAATTAAAATGCAGTACCGCTAATAACTAACTATGTACCAGTTATCACTATTTTGAATATCGCCAAGTTTAGATTATCATAATTTAAAACAGGAGCTAAACATCATCTGACATTACTGTAAAAACTTTCCCTTAAAGAGTTTATTATTTTCTTGAACAGCAGAGAGGGCTTGATGTTAATGACCAACACCATGAGGAAACACAGTAATGCAACAGCACCCTCTCACATGAATGATAAAATAACACAAAGTTTTATCCTGTGACTAACTGTTTTGCGTTGCGGTTCTGAAATTGTATATGTATGTATGTA